TCCCAGCTATTTTGAATAATATGAACAACTAGAAGGGGAGTTTGTTCTATTATTATTTTTTTTTTCTTTTCTTTTCTTAATCTTTATGTTACTTTTAATAACCCTTTTTCTGTGCTTTTTTGTTCAACATTGGGGACAATGTTGATAATAAGTGTGGGGAGGGAATTTAGTTTTATTATTTGTGTGCATATGTCAAAATTTTCAAACAAATTTTTCACAAATATTTTCTTAGTATTTTATGCTAAATAAGTATTATTTTGAACAATTACAATATTTTTCTTCTTGGAATTCATGACATGATTGAATAAATAGTTCGGCAAGTTGTGATTAGTTTGTTAGCATTTTTTTGTTTGATATGTAGTGGCTATATTAAGTAAGCAATAAACATGTGAGTGTTTTGAGCCATTGACTGACACTTCGGTCTTATTTTCTTTCTATTGTGCAATTTCTTCCATAATTTTGTTTCTCTAGAACTTGCCTTGATTCTCTTTTAAAGCTAATTAGACCATGCATGATTCAAGTGTGATTAAGGCCATTATTTGATCTTGAGCCTCACTAGCCAAATAACCGGTTTGTCCTATGATTTATTTCCCCTTGTTAACCACTTTGAGCTTTATGGCCATTCTTTTCTCTTTTTTTTGAGCCACATTACAAGCCTTTTATATCTAAAAATAATGCCTTCACCCAGCTGAATAACTAGTGGAGCAAATTTTGAATTATGCGTGTAATCTACATGAGGTTGTGAGGAAGAAGTGTGGGGGAGGTCACTTTCTTGTGTTAATATGATGGAGAATGAGGTGGGTTGTATCTTCATTGCCGATTTGTCACTGGTCTTCTATGAAAAAGAAAACGAAGACAATTCATGATTCCAAAAAAATAAATAAATATGGAAATTGAAAAATTGAAAAAATGAAAAATGGAAAAATGGAGAATATATGTTTGAAAAAGAAAAATATTGCTGAAAATTTATGAGAAAATGAGAAAGAATCAGCAATTGATTTTGAGTTGAAGTTACTTCTAAATAAATGAAGTAAGGGGAAATTCTGGTAATACTGAGGAAGCATTCTATACTTGGTGTTGAGCAAGTATCTTGGATTATTTGTATTTATATGCTCCTCTAGTTTGAAAGCTTTTGTTTAAGCTACTTTCCTAAATATTCCCTACCTTAACCCTAGCCCCATTACAACCTGTGGAAAGTCCTTATGATTTGTGTCATGCATGACTCTTGTAGTGGTGATTGAGAAGATATGCAAGCCTATGGTAGAGCAATTTTATAGGAATGAACTTGAGTGAAAATTATACCCATCAAACACTTGAGTGATGAGTGATATTCCTGTGAGGGCTTACTTATTTAGTTTTCTCGATTTTCAGACAGGGGTGCTATCTTATTAATTGCAGGGTGCTTCAGATTGTTGTTCATGATATGTTATGAGTTTTGGGAATTTCATTTTATAATTTACTTCGCAAATAATATTTTTGCTTGGGGACAAGCAAATGTTTTAGTGTGGGGGAATTTGATAAGCATATTTTACACTCTTATTTTACGTACATCTTTATAATAATTTTGCATTAATTATTTAATATTATCTAATAATTAGATCTTTTTATATATATATAATAATATATAATATATTTATACATATTATTTATAATTAGTTCATGTTACGTACTAGTAAATACATATGCGTTATATATTTATATATATTATTTATAATAAGTTTCCAAACTTAAATCAACCTAGCATACATGCAAGTAATGTTAAACCTTTACTTTATTGTTTCTCCCCCTAAGCAGCACATGTGTATGAAGCAACGAAATAAAAGGATGAAGACCAATTCTGTAGTTCGAGCGAAGCTTGTCCGAAGATTCATCATGGCGCAAACATAGGAAGTTAGTGGAAGAAAATAAATCAAGAATTGTATAAATAGTAAAAGAATTTCATTTGTTCAATGTTCATTCTTCCCCTCTCGATTATTCTGTAAAGTTGTTATCAATGTCCATTCATTGCTAATTTCTTTAGCTTGGTTTAGTGAATTGAAGCCCGGAATTGATTATGCTGTAAGATTATTTATTTATTTTATTATATAATTTTTATGCATTTGGGTATTAAATATTCTTCTAAGTTATTTGATATAATTATTTGCTATATTAGATAATGTTGTGCTACAAATTATTCTAATATTCAGTAGCAACTGAGGTTAATTATTGACGGCTTAGTGATAATTGATTTCAGGAAGAATATTTTCCTAAATTAAATGCAACCGCTTGTGCTTGTGTTATTTTAGTTTGTCGGTTTTCCTAGTTCCTATTGCTGCTATTAAATTAAATCTATAGCGCTTGTCTTAGGTTATTTAGTAGTTAGGGGTAATTAAACCGCGTGTGCTTTAGTTACCTACAACTAAGGGAAAACGGAAATGAAATAATTTCACGACAAATATTCAATTGCATATTAATTACTTTATTAATCAATGATCAGTGTTAAATTCCGGTGGTGGATCTTTACTAACCAAGGTTTCTTATTATAAGTGTTTTCGATATATTATTTTCATTGCTTTATTCGTTCAATTAAATTTCTTGTTTATTTAAATTCTATTTTATTTTATCTTTATTCTCGATATATTCCAACCCCCTACCTTTAATTTGAGCACAAACGTTAAACTAGTTACTCCTCGTGGGATCGATCCTTACTCCCGCTACTACGTTTGTAAGGTTTTAATTTGGAAGCCTACGACAGCTCGCCAGCCGGACATTGAAAAACCTTTCTTTCCAACCGCTATGGGAGGAGGGAAGGTCCGTCACAAATTTAAGACCGTGACGGGAAGAGATGGTGACAAAGCTTTGGTTTTCAGCCAGTGCGCCAGATTCAACATTGAACAAGTAATGGAAGAGGGACTGAGACGGAGGAATATCGCATTCCTTACAAATGTTTAGAAAAATGACTAGAAATTTGTACCCATTGGGCGCTAATTGAGCCGGTATGATTTTATGGGTGTTCAGAAATTCTGAGATGAACGGGTGTAGAGGAAAGCGGAGGCCGCACTTGATCGAGTTGTAGTGCACGCCTACTTCTAAGGAATTGGCATCCGCAGAGCAATGATCGACGATCGAGATTTCAGGATTCACGTTGATAATCTCAACGTTTGGCCCTAAAAGTTCTTTGGCTTTGGAAAGGTATAAAAGCGAATTTTAGGCTTTATAGTTTGAGCCACATTTGGGTCTAGGCTATAGTAGCTAGGTTTTGGCCCAGGGAAGTCCGGGCCACGCTTAAGTTTGGCGGCTTCGGATTGGGCATGGGAAACAGATGATGATGGGGAACCACCTTGTAGTTGTAGTGTTGGGGAGGAAGATGCAGATTGGTTACGAAGATTTGCATTTGAGGGTGGACGAGGAGGACACATTATGATGACCCTCACTCGCTCGCTTTGAGTTAATTTAGCAAATTAAAGATCGAATTCAAGGGTATATATAAGACCTTTTAGATAAGATGAGTCATCAAAGCTCAGCCATTTTTATATAAATGAGTGTGGGGCATGGGAGATCAAAAAATTGCCTGAATTATAATATATATTCGATCGTCATCCATTACGTTCTTAATTAACATCTATCCGTTGGAGATTAACACCGTTTTTATATAAATGTGTGTGGGGCATGGGAGATCAAAAAATCGCCTGAATTATATATATTTGATCGTCATCCATTACGTTCTTAATTAACATATATCCGTGGGAGATTAACACCGTTTTTATATAAATGTGTGTGGGGCATGGGAGATCAAACAATTGCCTGAATTATATATATTCGATCATCATTCATTACGTTCTTAATTAACATTTACCGTTGGAGATCAACGGTATGATTTTCTTGAAATACACATGAATTTACCATTACTTATTACGGAGGATATATTAAGCCGTTAAACAAACGATATTATTTTTCATTATTACTTATATTGCATGAATTCACCACTATTTAATATTTAACTGTGTAAGCAACAACGATATAATTTTTCAGATAAAAATAGCCACCGAAACAACGGTCAAATTCCACAAGATTACGGTTACTAACAACATAGAAAATACCTTTCTATGTAACCCTTGGATCAGATCAGAATATATCTTTCTCCAATCACGCTTATTTTCATATTCTCCCTGTATAGGAATTGATCTCTATAGTTTATTAGAAAGGGACAAGCAAGCTAGGATTTTAATTTATAGTTAAAATTCGATGTAAATGCATGCAAACACCTCTTAATTAACATTTCCTTATGTGCATGGTGTGATAATATAATCCATCATGTATCTGTAACTAAATAGGAAAAAAACATAAATTGTAAAATTAAGCAATGGATTGATAAGTTTAATGTGAAGAAATTAAATCAATAATTTGCCTAAACAGGAAAACTCTATTCATGTTGGAACACAATCATATGCGATCTAGCTTGAACGGAAAGAGAGAAAAGGGAATGGTAACTTGCATTGTGAACTGTCTCAACGGTTACAGAAGAAGAAGAACGACTAAATACCAAAGGGAAGAGCGGGAAAGTTTGTTACACCGTTATGAAAGAAAAGACTAAACAATCCTCAGCCTATCTTAGCCTTGAACAAACCAGAACTGCATGCTTCTTTATTTTTCTTCTTCCAACACCCCCGTAAGTTGGCGCATACAAATCTTGTGTGCCCAACTTAGATGTAAACAACTGAAACTGTGGTATTGGAAGAGGTTTAGTGAATCCGTCGGCCGTTTGATTCGAAGAAGAGACAGACAGAAGCTTTATGAGACCTTGGGAAACTTTTTCGCGTACGAGATGACAGTCTATCTCGATATGCTTTGTGCGTTCATGGAATACTGAATTCTCGGCTATGGCAATGGCGGATTTGTTGTCACAAAACACCGCTGCAGGCTTCTTCATTTTCATCTGCAAATCAGAGAGAAGAAAGGTGATCCATTGGACTTCGCTCACAGTTGCGGCTAAAGCCCGGTACTCGGCCTCGGAGGAAGATCTAGATACCGTCGATTGTTTCTTGCATTTCCAGGAAATTAGTGCACTGCCAAGAAACACACAAAAGCCTGTTATGGAACGACGGGATTCTGAACATATGGCCAGTCAGAGTCGGAGAAAACGTAAGTTGTGTGGCTTCGCCTTTTGGGTAAAAGATGCCCTGCCCAGGGGCTCGTTTGATATATCGCAGGACATGATGCGCTGCTTGCATGTGTTTCACAGTTGGTGAATCAAAAAACTGGCTGAGCTGTTGAATGGCATATGCTATGTCTGGTCTTGTAGCCGTGAGGTATAACAATCGGCCAACAAGTCTCCTATATGAGCCAATGTTAGCAAAGGGCTCACTGTCGCCATGGCATAAATGAATACCAGGAACCATAGGAGAGGAAGCCGGCTTGCACTCAAGAAAACCGGTTTCTGTAAGAATGTCCATAGCATATTTGCACTGGCAGAGGTTCAAACCTGTGTCACTACTCCGTGCTTCAATTCCAAGAAAATAACCCAACTCGCCTAAGTCTTTTATCTTGAAAGCATTGTCAAGATACATCTTTAGGTTCTGAATCTGGGATATGTCTGGGCTGGTAAGCAGTATGTCATCAACATATATGAGGACTACTATAAAAGTAGCACCTTCGCCCTTAGTAAACAGAGAAGGATCGGACTTTGATTGCACGAACATCATCTGTAGCAGAGCAGCACTTAGCTTTGAATTCCACTGCCTACTCGCTTGTTTGAGGCCATACAAGGAGCGGCGAAGCTTGCATACCTGGTTAGGCTTCTCAAATTCAAACCCCTGTGGCAGTTTCATATAGACTTCCTCAATTAGGTCTCCGTGCAAGAAGAAGTTATTTATATCAAGTTGATGAATGTGTGCCAAGCACGAGATGTGGCCACTGCTAAGAAAGTCCGAATGGTCGTTATCCTTGCAACCGGTGAGAATGTTTCTATGTAATCAATTCGAGCTGTTGATTGTAGCCTTTGGCCACTAAACGAGCTTTGTATCGTTCTATGGAGCCATTGGCTTTGAGCTTAACCTTGTAAACCCATTTACAACCAATGGGGATTTTCCCGGACGGCAAGTCAGTGATATCCCATGTCTTGTTTTCTTGCAGAGCTTTAATTTCAGTGCTCATGGCATCCCTCCAATGAGCATGTTTGACAGCCTGAGTGTATGACTTTGGCTCATCTGTAGAACTAACTGCCAAAGAGAAAATTTTATGTGATTGAGAGAGGTTGTCAAATGACATCACCTTAGACATAGCGTGGGGGGATGATCTCTTGTTTACTGCATCACAGTAGAAATCTTGGTATTTATTAGGAACCCGACGTTGTCTGTTTGAACGTCTGAGAGGTGAGGGACTTCTGCTTGCTTCTTGTACACACTCACCATTCTTCTCATCTGATATTTGTGCATCATCATCAAAATGTTCCTGTGCACTTTCGGATTCCATAGATAAATGGAATTGGGAATTGCATGTTGATTATCAGGTGAAGAATATGTTGGCAGTGCAACATCACTAGGCATTCCAGTATTTTGAACCGGTTGAGGTTGAAGGCTTTCATGCTCCAAAGTGGTAGTAATTGGGACGATAGGAAGAGATGGCTCACTCTTAGCAACTTGTGACTTCCATAGAACCAGTATCCTTCGTGAAGGGGAATTGGCCCTCATAGAAACTCACATCTCTGGAAACTAACAGAGATCCATCAAGTAAATCATAGAGAATGTATCCTTTAGTGTGAGCTGGTATTCCAATGAATACACACTTTCGGCCTCTTGCAGACATCTTGTGAGTATTTGGAGCAAGGTTGGAGGCATAGCATAAGCATCCAAAGACTTTCAGATTTGTGTAATCAGGCTCCTGATTGTACAATCTTTGATAAGGACTAACAAGTCCAATAATAGGGGATGGTAACCTGTTTATTAAGAAGGTAGCATGCATCACACAATGGCTCCAAAACTCAAGTGGAAGAGAAGCCTGGAAACGGAGAGCTCGGGCTACATTGAGTATGTGTTGATGCTTGCGTTCAACAATGGCGTTTTGCTGTGTGTGTAGGGACAGGTCTTTTGATGAACAATACCTTTTTCTTCAAAGAACTCAGGCATGCTGAACTCTAAGCCATTATCAGATCGAATGGCCTTAATTAAAATTCCAAATTGTGTTAGAATTTTGGCATGAAAATTCTTGATGAGTTGTCTGACCTCTGACTTCTTCTTCAAGAGGTGAAGCCATGTGAACCTGGAGTAGTCATCCACTATGGTAAGAAAATATCTTTCTCCTTTCAAAGAATGAACCGGAAACGGCCCCCAAATATCAATGTGAAGCAAATCAAAACATTTTTCTGAAATACTTATACTCATAGGAAACGGGGATCTCTTGTGTTTAGCTAAATGGCAGATATCACAGCAGCAGTTTTATGGTTTGCAATCTTGATATATTTCAAAAGATGGATTTTTATTAATAGGGAAATGTCCCAATCTTTTGTGCCACAACTCGGCATTACTACTTTGAACAGAAGAAACATCATGTCTAATAGCAGGCAAGGATTGATTCAAAATGTAAAGGCCCTTCCTGTCTAGCTAAACCAATCTTCTTCCCAAGCATATCCTGAATCACACACTGTTCAGAGGAAAAAATTAGACTGTAGCCACCATCTTTTAACAACTTACTCACAGACAATATATTGAACTTGAAGCATGGTATGTGAAGGACATCTTTCAAGCATATTCCACCATCAAGAACTATATTGCCCATGTGTTTGACATGAATCAGGTTTCCAGTAGGTAAATTCACCTCAGTTCCTTGAACAACATGATAATCAAGAAAGAAATCAAGTGAACAAGTAATGTGGTCCGTAGCTCCGGAGTCTATGATCCATGTGGAATTACAAAGAGATATAGAATTGACAAGAGTATTATAGTACTTGTCTTCAGTTGTAGACTCTTGTCTGTTGAAATTTGGTACAAGAGAAACTGCTGCCATGGCCTTAGTATTAGAGTTCTGCCCAACTTGATTCTGGAGAAGAGTTAGTAGCCTTTGGATCTGGTCAGATGTATTAGCGGAGTCTGCCTATTCATTAGCAACTACTGCTGCGGATTGTTGTTGTTTTCCTTTCGACTTGAAGCCCGGAATCCACCCCGGTGGATATCCGTGTTTCTTGTAACACTTCTCAACCGTATGACCACTCATCCCGCAGTAGGTACACTTTGCACCTTTGTTATTGTTTCCATATCGCTTGTAATTGTAGGTGTTTAAGGCAGCTATGACTTCTTCAGATGAGTTCTGATGAACTGCATTGGCTTGCGTGGCATCTATGTTCAAGTTGCAAGCACTCAGATTAGCAAAGGTAATCTGTCTCTCAAGTTTTTCCGCCATGACGAACACCTTGTAGACCTCTGGCAGAGGATCCAAAACTAGCACACTGGATTTGAGATTGTTGTATTCGTCATTTAATCCTGAAGGAATCGTATGACATAATCCTCTTCTCTTTCGTTCCTGATTTTATCGGTCAACTTACAACTGCATCTCGCGTTGCACGTACACTGGGGAAGAGGTCTCAGAGTGTTCAAATGCTCCCAGAGAGTCTTACACTTTGTGTAATACTCATTGATGGATAAGTTTCCCTGTTTTAGGCTATATATGTCACTCTGCAGGATCGATACTCTCTGAGCATCGTGTTGTGAGAACCTACGTCTCAGGTCTTCCAAGCATCTTTCGCCCTATCTAGATGCAAGATACTTTGTGCTATAGAAGTATGTACTGAGCGAAGGATCCAGGAGCATACCATAAGATTACACCTTCTCCACGCTGCGTGTAGGTGATGATCGATACTCGATTCTGCGACATCTCCATTAACGATGCACCATTTGTTCTTAATTTCCAGCGCGATTCGCATCGATACACTCCATGATCCATAGTTGGAGCTCCCAGCGAGGAGAGGACTGACTAGCACTGCGCTGGGTTCTCATTTTGGCTGAGAAAAAAAGGATTCTCCACGTCGTCCGGAACTTGAGCTCTGCCTCGCTGAGTGATCGGATTCTCCTGTGGAATCGAAGCAGGCATCGGAGGTGGTGCGGCGTGAGTCTGTGGACTGGTTTCTCCGATGATCGGATCTGTGGATCGATCCCCGATCACGGCTGCTGCGTATGTGTTCGATGAAGGTGCTCTGATACCATGTTGGAACACAATCATATGGATCTAGCTTGAACGGAAAAGAGAGAAAAGGGAATGGTAACTTGCATTGTGAACTGTCTCAACGGTTACAGAAGAAGAAGAAGAACGACTAATACCAAAGGGGAAGAGCGGGAAAGTTTGTTACACCGTTATGAAAGAAAAGACTAAACAATCCTCAGCCTATCTTAGCCTTGAACAAACCAGAACTGCATGCTTCTTTATTTTTCTCTTCCAACAATTCATAGATAAATCTTCATATGTTAATGTATTAAAGATATTGAATTACTAGTGAATTAGCTGGTTTTAAAGTAACACACATTAATATTTAAATTTTAATTTGAGAGTAAATAATTCTTTGATCATATCTATCAGTTATTTTAATTTGTCTCTTTCAAGCATATCAATTTAGCGATGTAAAATAATTAAATAGTAAGCCATAATTGTGTACATTGAGCTTGAGAAATTATAAGCTCTAATTAGGCACCAATATAATGGCTCATGCAAGAGACGAGCAATCTCACGCCCTCAAATATGCTCAATGCATATATATTATATATATATATATATATATATATATATATTATATATATAATATATATATATATATAATTTATTATGCTCATGAATAAAATTAGTTCACCCTTCTGCATGAGCCGTCGTGGAAGCAAATCTAATCTATTAAAAGATGCAATGTGGTCAGATCTGATCCATTATGAGGTAGGGTATGGCAAGTAACAGTTGGGCACAAATTGATATGGACCAGGATTTGACAGCGTTGATGCTCTTAGCTTTTAATCGACCAAGTTTGATCCCATTGATACCTAATGCGTAGTATCCGACAGTTAGAATAAGGGACCAGTTTATGATGCATTGATTCTAGGGGCGTTTTTAATCGAGCGCATGGTGTGTTCACACGAGAACTCATGCGAGAGAGTTGATACTCTACTTGAACAATTGAGCGCGTTGTGTGGTGTGTGAACATTTTCTCTGTGAAAAGTGTGGATATAGTCCAGCATCATCCATTGTTGGAGAAACGGTGCAAAGATAGTGATCTTGATATTAGCTAAACGTTTTTTGAAGGTTTGGCAATAATTATGAGGTAATGGGGAACTTTACTGTTTAAATATTTTCAATAATTTATATAAAGATGGTGAGGTTTGTGGTCTTGTGTTACTAAAAGACTACTCAGCGGGGTGATAACGCGATAATGAACCTTAATGGATCAGCTTAGATAGATCCTTAAGTTTTTATAGGGAGAGAAACTATTTTCTTATTGATTAAGACACATTTATTAAATAGCATAAGATCGAATTCAGGATATATATAAGACCCTATAAAGTCATCAAATGAGTCATCATAGCTTCAACGCGTTTTGTATAGTAAATGTGTGTGGAGCAAGGGAGATGGCAAAAATTGGCCGGTGAATTATATATATTCGTCGATTATGTTCTTAATAACAATATAAACTAATTGGAGATCAATAGATATAATTTTCTTGAATAAGCATGAATTCAGCACCATTATATTACTTTAAATATATATTAGCCGTGTGAAGCCAACAGTATGTATTTTTTCATCATTACATAATATTCGATAAGAATGGCCTATTTGAAGCAATGGTCAAATTCCACAAAGC